TTCATTAAGTAGCAGATAATAACAACAACAAACAAACACATAGAGACAGAGATTGGATTGGTGGTTACCAGAGGGGAAGGGGGGAGGGAGGAGGGTAAAAGGGATAATTCGGCACAAGTGTGTGGTGATGAGTTGTAATTAGTATTTGGGTGGTGAACGTGATGTAATCTATGCAGAAATAGAAGTATAATGATGTACACCTGAAATTTAAAATATGTACAAATAGAAGTATAATGATGTACACCTGAAATAAACCAATGTTACTGTAATAAACAAAAAATTAAAAAAATAAATAAAAAATAAAAATAAAAAAGTATGTAAATGCCTTTGTATAAGAAAAATTCAAACAAAATACCAGAGTAAAATGAAAAAAAGAAGTCTTTGCTTCTCTACCTACTCTCACTCCACCTTCCTTCCCCAGACACCCACTGTTACCATTTCCAGATTCTTCTTACACACTCACATACATAAACATGCTTCCTGCTTTTTTACATAAGTGGAATTATACCTTATGTACTGGGCTGCAGCTTACATTTTGCAGTTAACAATATATCTGAGAGGTTTTTTTCTGTGATAGTACATCTAGATCTATCCCCCATTCTACCACTTTTAAACCACTGTACACAATTCTACCGTATGGATAGGGCACATTTTATTTAACCATTCTTCAATGATGGACATCATGGAAATCTCCGATTTTTTTGCTTTTAAGGCTGCAGTTCACCTCTTTCTTTGTATATCTTCCTCTACATGTACGGATTTTTTTGTAGACTTCGTATCTTGACGTCAAATTGTTGCCTCACAGGGCATGCACATTTAAATTTTTGACACATAATGACAACTTGCTCTTCAAAAAGGCTGTACCAATTTGTATATTAGTACTAAAATCTTGTATTGTTAGTCTTATAATTTTTTGGCCAAACTGATGTATGGAAATTAGTATCCTATTCTATTTTTTTATATGTTTATTAGCCAACCGTATTTCTTCAGTGAATTTCCTGCTAGACCCTGCACTCATTTTTCTAATGGGTTACTTGTCTTTTTCTTATCGATTTTAAAGAATTCTTTATATATGCTGGATATTAATCATTTGTCTTACATAGCTCAAACTACTTCTTTCCCCTAGTTTGTTGTTTATCCCTTAATTTTGTCTATGGTCTCTTTTTCCAAATAGAATTTTGTTCTTTTTATGTTGTCAAATCTCTCAGTACTTTTCTTTATGGCTTCTGGGTTTTCTGTCTTATTTATTCCCCCCTAGTTATTAAAGGATAGCCTATTCTTCTCATTTAACAGAGAAGGCAGTTCACTGACTCACAAGAGAGTCAGGACTGGACCACAAGTCTCTCTTGACTGCTGGTCGGAGAATTTTCCTACCAAATCACATTGCTTCTCTGTTGTTATCAGCAGTTTTTTAATCCAGTTTTAAAGGAATTCAAGAGGTATAACTTTCTCAGTTTTGATTTCTTCCTTCCCTCGTCACTCCTGTCTGCCTGTATGAGGTCTGTGTACTCTTTGCATGATTAGGGAACAGAGATGAGTCAGCCGTGATTCCTGCATTCCAGGAGCTCAAAATCTGAAATCACACTCAGAAATTACTATAAAACATAAAAATTTTGTTTCTCTATGGATAGGAAACCTGAAGAAAACATACTGATGTGTTAGAAGGGAGCCTGGGTTTCCAAAAAGAAGAGGTTTTCAGAGAGACACTTTGAATCTGGCCTTTGATTACATAGAGATTAAATGATTTTAACCAACAACACCACATTCCACCTTTTCAATGAAGGTGCACAGTCCTCAGATCTGCATATCTTCGTGTTTTAATCTTTTAGTATCTCACTGACATGGAGATCTGTATACCTGGCTTTGAGGTTTACAGAGACACAGTGACCTGGCTTGCTTACCAGAGACATTAAGAAAATAAACCCTAAAGTAAAAACATATCCTAATTATAATAAAACTCAATAGTTGATAAAGTAATAAGGTATCTGTGACTAAATAAATGAGGCCTCTGAGACTCACAAAATTACTGGCCTGTAAAATGGGACGAATACTTAGATAAAATGATGATAGGACATTCTAAAAACATGAAGTATTGCATAAGAGACAAATAATAAATCCATACAAAGTACTCTGTATCATCACTATTCACATGAATTCAGCGAAATCCCTGGAATGGGAGATTACACACTTGAGACAATGGATGGAATCACCATACTGTAAAAGACTGAAGTGAAGCCCAACCACTCAACCCACTGACTGGGTTCCAGCCTCCCTCAGAAAGGTCTTACCAGGGTTCCATCTGTCAGGGTGCAGCCGGAGAAGCGTTTTGCAAGAAACCCCTCAAAGTTAGTTGTCCTCTGAATAGCAAAAAGAAGCAATTTCACTTCAATTTCCTTAGCTCTGGTACGCATAATCTTGGCAAGTTCTGTCCTTCAAAATAAAGAGATAAGAAATAGGTGAAGGGGATAAGAGGCACAAACTTCCAGTCATAAAATAAATAAGTCACAAGGATGTAACGTACAGCATAGAGAAAAGAAAAAAAAGAATGTTTTCAAACAAACTGATCATTCAAGATAAGACAAAGTAAATGGTTTTAGCTTATATTAAAAAATAAGGTGGGGCCGGGCCCGTGGCTTAGCGGTTAAGTGCTCGTGCTCCGCTACTGGCGGCCCGGGGTTCGGATCCCGGGCGCGCACAGACGCACCACTTCTCGGGCCATGCTGAGGCGGCATCCCACATACAGCAACTAGAAGGATGTGCAACTACGACGGACAACTATCTACTGGGACTTTGAGAAAAAAAAAAAAAAAAAAGGAGGAGGATTGGCAATAGATGTTAGCTCAGAGCCGGTCTTCCTCAGCAAAAAGAGGAGGATTAGCATGGATGTTAGCTCAGGGCTGATCTTCCTCACACACACAAAAAAATAATAAGGTATGTGATCATTTCAAATCCTGAGGTCTGTTATCAACTTAGATATACATATTCTAAATAAGAATTTTAAGGTGAAATTATCCACCAGTCAAAAGAAATCAAAGATTATGGACACCAATTTGTTTACATGGTTTCCACTATTTATATATCTTTAAATCTTTCAATAATTTGTTAATAACATATATGAAGCATTTACTCAGTATTTTACAAAAATGCATATATTCTATATAATTTCACAAGTTATTAATTACTGAATTACAAAGTCCTCCATCTTCCAGAGAGCTCAAAACCCCCTCTCCAGCCAGAGAGCAGCAATTCTGGAAATACACGTCAGAGACTAGAATCCCCATGTGATAAGTGACGTGTACATGCTTAGGTGGTTCCTGCCTGTGAAGCTTAAGTGCCAGTCACTCATGTTGTTCTGTTTCAGAATGTAAGTTGTTCAGCAGCAGTGACATGAGAGTTCTTATTAAGTTCTGAGCTATGATCATCTTCCCACATAAATAAATGACAAAATCAAACAAAGAGCCTCTGAGTTTATTTGAGAATTATGTATCTGTAGGATTTTAGCCAAAATTCGAACAATGAAAGCTTGGCAGCAACACTGACGTTAGCTGACACAACAATAGCAGGTTTGTTGGCTTTAGTATACTTCTAGTCTCCTGTGGACTTCACTTTTCACAGAGTTAGTTTGCAAGCTGCTGAACTGTAGGGCTAAAGGGAATTAGTTATCAATTTCTCAAGGAATTTGCTCTTTCTCTGCTAATCAGTACTTAGGAAGTGACAACCACAACTGACCTTGAATCAATACTAAAAGTTATCTAAATCTATGGTAGCAAATGTGTTTCTTAAAACAACAGCCACATAGAATGTACAACACCAAGAATGAACCCTAATGTAAACTACGGACTCTGGGTGGTGATGATCTGTCAGTGTAGGTCCATCAATTGCAACAAATGTACCATTCTGGGGGCATGTGTAGAGGCAGGGGAATATAGGAAATCTCTGTATCTTCCTCTCTATTTTGCTATGAACCTAAAACTGTTCTAAAAAAGAAAGTCTATTAAAAAAAATAACCAATAACCAACACCCTTAAGACATTTTCCCCCTACAATGTGATTAAAGCATGCAACTAACTTGACTATACTCGCTATGATTTTAAGAAAGAAGACTACCATAAATTACTCTAAGGTGGCTGAGTTATGCTTGGATATGGGACTTTTTTTTAACTAACCTTGAGTTAATGTAATGGTGCACTATTAGAAGTAACTAATCAACTAATAAAATAAATAAACTAATAAAACCCACTTACTACCACTGTTATGGTATAGCTGCAAGTAAAGAACAAAAAATTTTCTACCTTTAGCTCTGTCATGGATACACTGATCTAACCTTCTTGGGCTTTAATTCTTCCAATATAAAGGGACTATTTGGCCCTGGGCTACACTTAAAATGCTTAGAACACTCAGATGCCAATATTACCAACTATCCAAAGACTATAAACACTGTATCAGGGCAGGAAAATTTTTTTTTTTTTTTTTTTAAAGATTTTATTTATTTTATTTTTTCCCCCCAAAGCCCCAGTGGATAGTTGTATGTCGTAGCTGCACATCCTTCTAGTTGCTGTATGTGGGACTCGGCCTCAGGATGAACGGAGAAGCGGTGCCTCGATGCACACCCGGGATCCGAACCCGGGCCACCAGCATCGCAGCACACGCACTTAACCACCAAGCCACAGGGCCGGCCCAGGGCAGGAAAATTTGTTCAACAAATATTTCCTGAGTGTCTACTATGTCACTGAAGTAGATACTACCCCCGTCCCTATGGAACTATCTATCTAGCAAGTCAGGAAATCAAAATGATGATGGATATATACACTGCACACCAAGATATGCGATACAGACATAGGGGAAATGTGGGGCAAGGAATCACTATAGGAAAATCTGGTTGATGAGCCTTGAGTTGGTTAAGTCGAGAAGGCAGGCTGTTCAGAAGGGCTAGGAAAGGAAAGTCCTAGAGCAAAGACAGAAGCAGATGTAGCTGCTATGTTGTATACATATTACTTTTAAGGCACAAAAAAAAAAAAGTGCCCTGGCTGCAGCTACTGGCCCAAGGCTCTCATGTACCCCTTTTTCACTTTTTTCCCATCAAGTTTTTACCCTTCCTCTACATAATGCTCTCTCCTGTAAGGCTGAAACTCTGAAGTTGAAGAAGGTGGAAGATAGCTACAATCGGAGTTTGGGAGTTGGTTTTGGGTACATAAAATCTGACTTTCAACAGGAAAGGAGTCTTCTGTGGGGAGGGAGTCCAGCACAGGTGAAGTTCTCATTAAAATGATGACTTTTAAACAACAATAAAAAAAGTGTAAGTAGTACCCAATCTACAAGACAACATGGAACCTTTAGAGACTGGGGGATTGATTTCAATCAACTGATTTCAATTAACACCTAAACCAGTAGAGACTTGGAATTTACCTTGTGACATGGCAAAATTCTACCGCAATCCTCTCGGTCATGTACCACTCACGTGGAAACATCCGGCCATATTTCTCCTCATAGTCCACAAGCTGGCGTTTTATCCAGGCATAGCGTCTGTCGATTTTGTCCAGCCAGGCAACCTTAGGAAGGCAGGGAACAAAACCCACCCCAGTGCTTAGAAGTAGTGTTGACAGTTTAAGGAAGCAAACAAAAACACAGAACCAAGAAAAAAACAACGCATTTCTCTATTTCTCACAGTTTTAAGGACTCTAGGCTACTTTTTTACTGATCCTGAGGTTCTTAATCTGTGATCTATGATTGGGCTTCAGGGGTCTGTAAATTTCCTGAAACTGTTTGCAAAGTTTTATGCGTAGGTGCATTTTTCTGGGGAGAAGATCTGTAGCTCTCATTAATTTCTCCAAAGGGTCAGTGATCCCCAAATGGTAAAGAACCACTAAACTGTACAGTCAGCCCCTAGGATTCATGGTTCAACAATCAACAGATTAAGACAGTAATACTAATAAAGTATAAATCAGTAGATTTGAGAGCATTCAATTTTCAATAAAATGCAAATGTAACATCTGATCTCATTTGGTAAATACTTACATCTTGGTTTTCTTGAAAAAGTACTAGATACTCTGAAAGATGCTGTTTTATAAACTTTTTGATGATTTCCTGTTTGATTCTGGGGTCCAAAATATTAGCAACCAGACACGCATCTCGTAGGACATTGCTGGGTCCTCCTGGCCTCTGGTGAAACAAACATACACCAGTTCAAAAGCCAGAAACAACCTTTAAATCTCATGGCCTCTGACAGCTGCTACTTCTTGTTCCTGTCTTGAAGTTATTATTACTCCTACTCCCCTGACACTCATTCTTCTGCTGTGGATGGATATTTTAGTTACTTATTACTTGATGAAAGAATCATTAAGCTAGTCTGCAGTAGCCAATATAAAAGCTACTCTGTGAATAAGCAATGAGACATTTTGGAAACAGGGCCAGCAATGAACGTAGGAAATTTTGCTTTCTGAACACCAAAACTGAAATCACCTTGTTGAAGAGCCCTAAAAGTCAGAATGACACCAGTCTCACTCTACACATACCACTTTCCCCTGATTCCAACTTTGTATTCCTGTTCTCAACGTGCTATATTTGTGCCAAACAGTGTGGTGGCATTTAAAACCTAAAACCAGATTCCAAATCACCAGACTTGTTTCACTGATAGTCAACCACTCAAACAGGCAGCCAAAGGTAACATATTATGATATTGGCCCCTTGAGCTGAAAAGAACAGTAGAAGGATATCAAGGGGCTGTATTGATACATCATGAAGGGAAGGCCTTTGTTATTACTGAAGGCAATTCAATCTCATTGAAACTTTCTTTATAGTAACTCACTGAATGACCAGGTTGGCTGAGTAGACTATAGTTAAAAAGAACACTTGGAATCTACTCTTGGTTTGGCTAAATAGCCATGTAGCTTTGGCGTAATTATTGAAACTCATCTGAAAAATAAACGAAAAAAAAAAAGGACTTTAGGTGATGATTAAAGTTCTTCCAAATATTTATGACATTTTTTTGCCAATTCTGTCCAATTTATCCATCTCAACTAAAGTTCAAGAGTTTCATAAGCATTATCTAAGCTGTCTAAAGCTAAATTGTTAAAATGATGACTCGCTCCATGCTGGGTGGCTCTTATGTCATCTGCTGAGCACTCTGACTGCCCACCTCCTGCTTCTAGAGGAAAGTGTTTGATCCGACAGAGAAGTCACAGAAGCCAAAACCCATGGGCTCATTGGTTCAAATGTTTTCATTTAAAAAGGACTTAATAGGTTACCTTGGATAATTTTTTTTAATATCTTGATTTCCATTTATGAACTAGGAATAGTAGTAACACAAGGCCTTTAAGAAAAGTCAATTGTCATTAAAAAGGAAAAAAGTAAACTCCTAAAGAAACATTAAGTTATCCAGCCAGAGAAAAGAGAAGGTAGTTGTTAAAGAAAACCATTTTAACTTCATCTGCCTGATGGGATCTGGGAAAAAGATATAAAGTAGGTCACGGTTAGTTCCTTCTAAACAATAAAGCTGGGCTTCATTCACATCTTTCTGAAACTTCTTGAAACTAGGATGGACAGCAAAGTATAGTAAAGCAGACCTTGGATGAGAAGAGTCTAGTGCTTATAATTTGTGAATATCTTATAATCTCTTTTCATAGAATGGCTTTCCAACATCCACTCCCCACAGTTACATCAAATGAATAAGGAATACGAAGTCCTCAGAGAAACATAATTTACAAATAAAACATCTGATTACCAGAAGACAGCCACAATATGCAGACATTAAAATCAAGAGCAGGTTTCCTATAGAAAGTAATCTACAATACTGGGGCAGCTACCCCCACCTATTTCCTAAATTTCTTTTATGGAGCACAAAGAAGAATGATTAAGATATTTCCAGTTATTGAATTATAGAGCAGATTCAGGAAATGTTCCTTGGCTCAGTAAATGAACATATATCCCCCATCTCCTCCCACCAAGTGCAGTGAGGAATGCTGCTTGTCTGTGTGTGCTTCATTTCTGCACTGAACAATTCTCTCTTGAAATAACCCAAATAAGAGAGAAAAAAAGCTTCTGAAGGTCCTTCCCTCCCAACATATGCAAAGCATTAAGATTATGTCTGCTACAATTTGAAGGATAGCGCTGAAAGCAGTTATCCAAGCACAATGACAGCCAAGAGAGGCTGAGCTTGTTACATGAGAAGTGTAACCAATAGCTCGCAAGTGGAATACTGTGGGCTTCCCAGACACAACACGAACAGATACGCCACCAGTGAGAGCTAAAGGGATTAATTCTAAAGAACAAGACTCTGATCATTAAAAGTGAGTCTCCTAGCTGTGTCATTCCGAGGGTTACATAAGCCTGTGGACACTCCTCCTGGTTGTCTTTTCACCAAACTGAAACCAATAAGTTATGTAATAATCCTAAAAAACATTGTGGCTTGAAGATTTTTTTTTTAACACAGCCACGAGATAAAAGGAATTTACTGGGCAAACAAGATATTAGGTTTGACACACATTAAATTAAACCATAACAAATCCTCACTTTTAGATGCTGGAAGAACAAAGATGAGGAATCAACATTCCTTTGAGATATTTAAAATCAAGGATGGTCTCATCAACCTGAACCTTTGGCAAACAGACTTACGGCTGCCAGCAAACATTTTTGGAATGGTAAACGAATAGTAACTGTAATGAGCATGGATTAGGCAAGAATGGTGATAATATAGAAAGACTGGAAGGAAAATGCAAAACAATACCTTGGTACCCTGGGAAGGAAATGTTTCTTCAAAATCGGCCAGGATTTGCTGTCCTAACTCAGTCTGGGCAGCCTTCACTCTGCAGGGAAAAGAGAACATATCATTGCCTGGCGTAATTTTCAAATATCCATTAAGTAATTATGCAAAGATCCGTAGGGGTCAGAACTGTTGAGGTCTTTAGAGATCATCCAGGAAGCGGGGAGGTGTGGCTAGATAGGAGAAGTCACACACTAGTTAGTAGCAGGTTTATGACCAGGACCCAGGCATCCAATTTATCCTCACAATGGATTTTCTATATACCAAAGTTCTTCTAGGCCACCCCTCACCTGTCATAAGGTAGCGTATGTTAATCTTCACAAAATGTCATTGGGGGTATTTACGTTGCGGGAAAATGCTAGACAATAAGGCTCAAATCAAGTATAAATCCATTCTGGATTACTGGTATAACAGCTCTCCTGCTCCTTGGAGTAAAGAATAGGAGAAGGGCTCTATACTGTTTCAGAGCTGTTTTTTTTTCAACCCAGAAACTAACATCAGGATCATAAATTTTAACAAACAAACAAAAAGAATGTTTCCTAAAGTAAAAAGAAAAAGATCTAAATGATAAAATGAACTGCTAATTGAGAGTGAAGGCCACTGAATGAAGATGTAAGTTCACTCAGGAGATTGTGAACATGAAGACTGAGCTACAATAAAAATGCGTTAGAAAGGGGAGGTTAGTACTTAACGCTCTGGTGTGCATGTATACTAGGAGCTCAAGAAATATTTGTCGGCTTAAATGAAAGAGAAGGAGAAGCAGCTGGGATGAGAGAGGAGCTGCATCTCAGAGCCCCCTGCAATGATCACATCCTCCACCAGCTGCCGGGAGCTTGGGGCCTCAAGCCAGCCAGGCTCACAGAGCCGGAGTGGAGCGAGGCTCTGGGACCACCTCTGGATTGCCCTGAGCCTGCGGCAAATATTTCATCTTTGCTAAAAGCACCATAAAATAGTGTTCTTCCTTTCTTGGTCTCCACCCTGTTACTTCAGAATTAACTTTATGAAGTTTCTAGAAATAGTGAACAGCTCAAAACCACAATTTCTTGGCTACCAGGCAGTGCCTGGCAACATACTGAGATTTTTTTTTTTAAATGAGGGGATAGGCAGGACCCAAAACAGTCTGTTTTCTCTGTGGCATAGTTATAATTATGCCATATTCCAAATACTTTCCAGGGTTTTTCCACTATCTTCAAAACTTTTAAAACCACTCTTATAGGTGGGTTTGTAGCCTCGTGAGTCAGTTTTCAAGGGGGCCAGAAATGATAAAGGCTAGAATTACTGAAGTAGCCCCCAAATCAGAGCCATCCATCTAGAGTTGCTCAACGGACAATGGGAAGCATTCCTTGAGTGTGAGCTCTGACAGGAGGGAAGAGAACACGCCTTTGTAAAATTGTACCTTGGAGCATCTTGTGACTCCACAAAATGGGCCAGGCAGACAGACTAGACTCTCTGTGCCAGGTCATAAGACAGAGCTTCCAGGACCTCAGGCCCCTCTGTTCCTACTCTCTCCTTGGCAGCACACAGAGAGTACCAGTTCCCTTCTAAGCTACAGGGATAATTCCTGGAGGGGAAGTCCCACCCCCAGCCAAGGACATTCACAGTCACATTCTCAGGACTCCTGAGCATCTCAGTGATAACTGATGGTACCAGCTCTGCCTCTTTTACCACCCCCCTAATTCCCTAATTCCATATTCTTGCTCAATATGAAATTGGAGTGCCTGAAAAAGACAACCAGAGCCTATGATAAGGCTTGGTACTCCCAGAGTGCAAAAGAAATGGTGAAGTACCAGACTGTGATTTGCAGACCCCATTGCCATCTTCTTCAATCCATTTTCGAAGTCACCTCTTGAGACAGTCTAGCCTTAGAGCTGTGCCACTGGTGAGCTATGTGTAATTGTAAGTAAGTTATTTCCCCTATGTGGGCCATAAGTAAGAATAGTTGTAAAATAAGAGGGTGGGGATGGAGGCCTGTACTAGATGCCTTTCAGCATCCTCTCCAGTACTGATTATTCTACATACCCATCTTACAGTGCCAGCTGGCAACAGCATCCATCTTTACAGGTGGCTGCAAGTTGGATGTGTAATTAATGTTGGAGCAGAAGAATAAGCTTCTGTACATAAGTGTTTCCAACTGTAGTTTCTGAAGTGTCTATCAGTGACTCAGATAAAAGAGCAACCATTTCCCTTATTGATATTAATGATGGTCTCTATAAACCCAAACCACAATTCCACGCATTTTCAGGATGAGATGTGAATAGTAGTCTTTACGATTAGTTGCCTAAACAGGATCCTAGAAAGAAGTCAACACACTTAAAGAATATGTCTTCAGCCTTACTCCTTTATATTCCTTCCGCTTCTAACAATGAAAAGTTAAGTTCCTACTGGAAAGAGACGGATCAACTGAGACTCTGTTAGCAGAGCATATATATGAGTTGAGCTACCATGATTTTCATAGGAATGATTAGGAAATCTATGTACAACTAATAGAGAATAGGATAAATAAAAATTCCTCTTGGCATTCAAATAAGGTTGGCCTGGTTGGGTGGTGACAACTCAGTATTGATCACTCTTAGGAAACAAAACATTCACAGCGCTGCCCAGAAGAAAGGTCAACCAACTGGCTTCTAGCATCCTCCATGCCACGTGATCAAGAGTTGCTCAAAAGTGCCCTTTCCTAAATGTGTTATCAGTTTGCATAATGGGTGGTAGCAGAGGGACAACAAATTATGAAAATTATTTAGACATTTGTGGATAAAGTAACCCTGACGCTTCCATTACCTTATGAACAACAGTCCCAACACTTCACAATAAACAGACCTCCGAAATCCACAGAGTCTGTACTGGACAGGATGGTCAACTAGTCAGATTAGTCAGATGCTCCATTTCCAAACAGACAGGCTCTATAAAGAATCTCAACCCAGAATCTTAGTGTGACTCAGTGGGATGTTTTGAGATCATCAAGTGCAACGCTTACACTTTTGAAACCCTTATACTTTCAAAATCTAACTTCAGAAAGAACTTGTCAAAGTCACATAGCTAGTCAGGCCTTTTCCTTCTCTACTTTCGTTTGTTTTATCACTACACCAGGCGACACCCCCCCACCCCCAACCTACCAAGTATCGCTCACATATAAGAGGTCAGAAATAGCCCTGAAAAATATTTTTTAGTTCAAGGGTTTCATGGGTTTCAAGAGAATGCAAGAATCTTCCATTCTTTCTCAAGAAATATTGACTGATTACTAGAAATATTTGCTTTCATGGATATTCTTAAGCCAGGAGGATTTGAAATGTAAAGATGATGTTAAAGAAAAAAATCATTCCCTTAACGCTACATTAACATTTAAGTATTTTCCAGAAGGGTAGTTGGAAGAACTAGCTATATTCAAATCAAGATCCATGAACTTTATATTTCAAATGTACAGGCACAGTTTTCAGAGCACAATCTTTCATATGACTTTTATAATTTATAGACAGCAAGCTATTAAATGAGAGAAACTGAAGCAATGCATAGGGTGTAACTCTCCTGTCTTCTTCCCTCCCCACAAACAAACAGCTATTTCTATCATTTCCAGATGGTTCTACCATCGCTATGTAAACATAAGGGAGGAAAATTCACCAGAAATGATGCTAAAAATAAGAAGTCTGGACTTTCCTCAAACTTTTAGTACCTCTTGAAAAACAATTGTAGTCAAGCACTGGAAACAGGAGATTTCTTCTCTTGTGTTATTTTTAGTGTTACTTAATAATACATATTCCGTATTAACCTACACAAAATTTTTGCAAACAGAAGTTGCGAAATGACCTAAAAAAAAAGTAAACCCTCCTGTGGTTGCAGGAATCCTACCTGATAATGAACATTTGGAGCACTGAAATATAGAGGGAATATTACATTTTCTCTTTTTAAGGGGAATGTCATTACAAGAAAGTTCCTTCAAATTTATAAAACCACCTCTTTGAAAAAATGTTAAAAAGAATCCTAAAATGAGTTCATTCTCTTGTTTGTCCCTACAATGCTTTTTTATAAATAAAATTCAGGTCTGCCATATTCCTGCCGTCAACAATATCTATTTCACACAACCAACTGGTAACCCCACTCCTCAGCACATCTCCTTGACCTCATGGTCACTATCTTGGTAAGATCCTTATCTCTTCTGGTCTAGAACATATTCTCAATCTCCAGTCTCTTATACCTATAATCCAACAGACTTTTACAAAATACAAATAAGATAATGCCTCTCCTTGCTTAAAATCTTTCACTGTCCACAAAATAAATAAATTCTTTAGCAAGGAGACCTCATCTGACCCCATCTACCCACGCAGCCTTTTACTTTCCATTGTCTCCCAAGTTACCATGATGTTCTCTCTTTCTCTCTTCTGTTTTCTCCCTCCTCTCTCTTTTTCTCTTAGAGGTAAGATCCTATTCATTCTTTCTTTTTTTTTTCATGAGGAAGATTAGCCCTGAGCTAACATCTGTCGCCAATCCTCCTCTTTCTGCTGAGGAAGACTGGCCCTGGGCTAACATCTGTGCCCATCTTTCTCTACTTTATATGGCACACCACCACAGCACGACTTGATGAGCAGCATGTAGGTCCACACCCAGGATTCAAACCTGCAAACCCCGGGCCACCGAAGTGGAGAACAGGAACTTAACCGCTATGCCACCAGGCCAGCCCCTGATCCTACTCATTCTTTTAAGATCAGATTCAAACTGAATTGTTCTATGACCCCTACCCTCAGCCCCTGAAGGTTGAGTCTATCAATTCCTCTTCTGAGATCCTATTATTCTTTGCACAGCATATGCCCGTTTTTCTATATCCATGCTATACTTAAATTTTCTATTAGTGTCTCTCTTCTCCACACAAAAATGGTGAACTCCTTGAACCAGAGTGTGCATATTTATTACCTTTGTGCCCTCAGTACCCCAACACAAGGCCCAGGATCTAGAAGGTGCATAGTAAATATCTATTAGGTAAATGAAGGAAAGAATAAATGAATGGGAAAAACAGATCAACTCCGGATTATCAGGAGGGTAGCAGGAGGTGATATTGCCCTCCCCCCTCCTCCCTCATCCACTGAGAGAAAGTCTGCCTTCCCCATCCAAGCTTCCTTCTTTCTTGCAGCTCATAAAACCCTGTTTGTCTGCTCTCTTGGCTGCTTCACATCCCCAGTGTGATATGGCGATCAGCCAGCTCTAAGTATGAAGGGGTTAGAAAGGATGAGGGAAAGGGTGGTGATTTTCCTAGTATTCTGCCAAGCACTGTTCCGACATTCCTTAATAGTTCTTTGGTATTTCCTATAAGATGGCACACTGAGCACATGTTGCAACCTTCCCTTCCAGCCCCAGATCCTTAGAAATAATGAAAAAATTTTAATAAAAATCTAGAACCAGGCAAGAAAAGAAGTGGTAGACTAGAAATTCTAAGGTCTCCCTGGTATGACACGATTGAAGAAGGAAACCACTGCTTAAAACTGCTTCTCAAATGAAAGACATGAGGGGCCGGCCTGGTGGTGTAGTGGTTATGTTCACACACTCTGCTTCGGCAGCGCGGGGTTCGCAGGTTCGGATCCCAGGCACGGATCTACGCACCGCTTATCAAGCCATGCTGTGGCAGCGTCCCACATATAAAGTAGAGGAAGATGGGCACAGATGTTAGCCCAGGGCCAGTCTTCCTCAGCAAAAAGAGGAGGATTGGCAACAGATGTTAGCTCAGGACTAATCTTCCTCACCAAAAAAAGAAAAAGAAAAAAAAGAAAGACATGAGGGTAGCAGATACCAGAAGCAATGAAGCCAGTGTTCACATCTGCATCTCTGCCTTAAATCCTCAGGTCAGGAGTGGGTATGGGTTGAAGAACCCCAGCAGTGGCCAGAGGGCTGACAACATCCAGGCAGATCAGGGAGTCTCCAAGTCCAGAAGACAGCCACTGGCATATCCAACTGGCAGCTCCTCCAGCTCCAGCCCAATCTCACTTGAGAAGAGCTGTTGGTAGCACACTTAGCAGGGCAGTACATCCCACCTCTCCCTCCCTAGCAGGTGGCTGTAAAAGAGCGTTCCTGATCAGACTGACAGACAATCTCAAAGCCAAAAATGAGCTTTCAGCTAGAAATCACCAAACATTGGAGGAATGCTAACACCAAGAAAGAAAGTCACCACATTCAACAAACTGAAGATCTCACATCAGAGGACAGAGAAACAGAACACGCAACTTGGAGCTTTAAAATACATATAATTTATATTTCCTGAGAGATTTAAGAGGATATTATGACTGTGAAAAAAGAATCAACTAGAGATCCTGAAGATTAAAGTTGGATCCTTGAAATAAAAAATCAACAGCTGGGCCAAATAGCAGAATGGGTACAATTGAAGAATAAATTAAAACAGGAAGGTTGAGTTTAGGAATTCAGCCTAAAAGGACAAAGAGATGCAAAGTATGAAAGAAAAATTAAGAAACATGGCAGCAGATCTAGAAGTTCCAATATTCATGTAATAGGAATTTCACAAAGAGAGAACATAGAGAACAAATCATAATAACTACGCAAACAAATAAGAGAACAATTTCTCAGAATTTAAGAAACTCATGAGTCTTCCGACTAAAGGTACAATAAGTACAGAGCAACATGAATAAAAAGAGACCTATGTCCTAGTAAAATTTTGATTCCTCCCCCCAAATCTCAAATGCTTCCAGAACAAAATAAAAATCAAACAAAAATAGATTATCTTATAAAGAAATGGGAATCAGATTGACTTCAAATTTTTAATAGGCAACAATAAATGCCAGACAACACATTTGCCTAGTCTATCATACAACAGCCAAAAGATGGAAAAACCCAAGTGTCCACCAACAGATGAATGAATAAACAAAATGCAATACATACATACAATGAAATAGCCTTAAAAAGGAATGAAATTCTGATACATGATACAATATGGATGGGGGTTTGCTAAGATAATTAACTTGATAAATGTGCGTACGTGTATGTCTTGAAAATGTTAAGTTAAATGAAATAAGCCAGACACAGAAGGACAAATATTGTATTATTCCACTTATATGAGGTTTCTAGAGACATTCATAGAGACAGAAAATAGAACAGAGGTTACCAGAGGCGGGGGAGAGGAGGTAATGAGAGTTATTTAATGGGTACAGAGTTTCTGTTTGGGGTAATGAAAAAGTTTCAGAAATAGAGTGGTAATAGTTGTATAATACTGTGAATGTACTTAATGCTACTAAATTGTACATTTAAAATGATTAAAATGGTAAATTTTCTTATGTATATTTTAACACAATTTAAAAACAGAAGTAGGAAACCTACATAAATCAATTACCATAGAAGAAATTGAAAGGACACTCAAAGATCTGCCTCAAGAATAAGCAACACACCCATATGGTTTTGCAGGCAACATTTACCAGATCTGACAAAGGATTAACACCTCGAATATATAGAGAACTCCCACAAATCAATAAGAAAGGGATAAATAACTCAACAGACAAACAGGCAAAGGATATAAACAGGCATTTCACAGCAGAAATGCAAATGGCGGATAATCAAATAAAAAGAAAACTAATCTCACCAGTTACCAGGGAAATGAAATTAAAGGAACTAGATATCATTTTTTATCCATTAGATAAATAAAAAGGAAAACTGACAATATCAAGCATTGTTGAGGGTATGGGGAAAGAGGTGCTCACACACTGTGCAGATGGCACTCTAAATAAATACAGCCTCTTTGGAGGGCAAATGGGCAGCAGTTATTAAAATTTTAAATGCACATAACCTATGACTCAGAATCTATCCTAGAGAAATACTTGCAGATGTGCAAAAGGGGCTACATTTTAAAAATTAGAAGCAAACAATCTAGTGATATGAGAACGGTTAAATAATCTGTGGTGTATTATACTAGGGAATTCTATGCATCAATTAAAAAGAACAAGAGGTCTGTACATACCAATGTGGAAAAATCTCTAAAATACATTGCTAGGCACAAAAAGAAAGTTTCAGAATGAAGCACATGGTATGAAATCATGTATTTAAAACAAAACAAAGCAAAACAAACCCACAAACTGAAACTACAGATTTATATAAATGCACAGATAAAAATCTGGAGGACACGCATTAAGTTGATAGTAGTAACCACCTCTATGGGGAGCCCTGAGATTTGAGGAGAAGCTAAAGGGGACTTAAGTTTCATTGGCATATTGACTATTTTTTGTGTGTGTGTGAGGAAGATCAGCCCTGAGCTAACATCCATGCTAATTCTCCTCTTTTTGCTGAGGAAGACCAGCTCTGAGCTAACATCTGTGCCAATCCTCCTCCTTTTTTCTCCCCCAAAGCCCCCGTAGATAGTTGTATGTCGCAGTTGCACATCCTTCCAGTTGCTGTATGTGGGACACGGCCTCAGCATGGCCGGAGAAGTGGTGCCTCGGTGCATGCCTGGGATCCGAACCTGGGCAGCCAGTAGTGGAGCGCGCGCACTTAACCACTAAGCCACGGGGCCGGCCCTATTTTTTCTTCTTCATGAGGAAGATCAGCCCGGAGCTAACATCCAATGCCAATCCTCCTCTTTTTCGCTGAGGAGGATTGGCCCTGGGCTAATATCCACGCCCATCTTCCTCTACTTTATATGGGATGCGGCCGCAGCATGGCTTGACAAGCGGTGCGTGGGTGCGCGCCTGGGATCCGAACCTGCAAACCCCGGGCCGCGCAGCAGAGCATGCGCACTTATCTGCTGCGCCACCAGCCAGGCCCCCAATATTGACTTTTTAAATAAAGAAAATGTATATATGTATTACTTATATAATTAAAAAGAAAGAAATCTAGGAAAAAAGAGGCCTGTAGCAATTAGGCCTTATAAGAAGGCAGAATTGAAAATGATGGCTCCTGCTAAGTACCAGCCCCTTCGTTTCTTCTTTGCTGCAAAAAAAGGTTAGGATTTGCCAATTGTGACTGTCTCTGTCTTCTCAGTATTCTCCCTGCTGCTATTTCTAATAGAAAAGGCATTAAATTCACCACCCTTCATCCTCTTTTAGAATCCTCATCTTCCTTCTCTCTAAGCATCAACCTTTCTTTCTATTGGCTCTGAATCCGGGATTAAAACTCAACAGAAGTAGGAAGAAAAGAATAAAGTTAAAGAGGCTAAGGCATCATTTTGTCACATACGAAATTCTAGTGGCAGACCGTATTTTACAAAGATTGCCACAGCAATATATTCCATCCCATGTGCTCTTTTTACCAATGTGACTTTGACATTCCTCCCATTGAGGGTAGAAGAGACTATGTTCCTTCCTCTTGAATATTGACAGCCTTGTGACTACAGAGGTGACCCTATGTGACTTCTAAGGCCTGATTCTCTTGGGATGCTTCTTCCTGGGGCCCAGCCACCTCGCCATGAGGAAGCCCAAGCAGCCCATGGAGGACAACCCAGCTGAGCTACCAGCTGACAGCGAGCACCAACTTGCGACCCATGAGAGAGTACCAATAGTGCCCCCTCTTGAGCTGCCCCAGCTGAAGTTGCATGGAGCAGAGATGAGCTGTTTCTACTGAGCCAGGCCAAATCACACAAGCAAAATAACTGTTTAAAGCCACTAAGTTTTGTGATGGTTTGTTACAAGGAAATAGACAACTGGAACAGTTTCCCTCACAAATGTGGACAACTGAGAACTGTCTATATTTACAACTCACCAGCTGCCACTCCAATGACGCCAGGCCAGCAACTACATAACATAGGTTGCTGTAGAAGCAATGGTAAGGAGTTGCTAAGGGGTATGGTAGAGGGGACGTCTGCATGAGAGAGAGTCAGATCAGATGACATGTGAGGTTCTTCCTACAATAAGACTCTACAATGAACACACCAAGCTAAGTGCTGAAGCACCTCCTACCACCATCTTTTCTTACAAGGGAAGATCATTTTCTCCAGTGACATTTTACCTTTCAGAAAGCTGCCGGATCTGTGGAATTCCCATATACTTGTGGAAGTGTTCCAGAACATTCATTACACCCTGAAGAAGATTAGCAACTTCTCCATACTGTCTTCGCCTGGTCATGGCTCTGCAAAGGAAATAAGAAGCGGAAAACTCTAGAAAAACATCAAGGACACAAGATACAGATATGGAACAATCTACTCTGAGCTCTAAAACAGACATCAACTCAATAAGTATTCACTGAGCACTGAATATATACGGTGTAGTGCACTGGGGAAGTCTTGGTCCAAATCCTCAAGGTGACATCATTTAGCAAGGGAGAAAGCCAAGTAAACATCTAACTAACACCAAGCAAGATGAACTGAGTTCTACATAGAAGTACAAGTTATGTGCTGTGGGAGATACAAAAGAATGTGTGAGTGATGGATTCTCATTGGGTGGTGGGAAGGGAATCTGAGAAGACTATAAATTTGGGATTTGGATTGGGTATTATGGGTTTAGCAGGCTTTTGACAGAGAAGGGGTAGGGATATTACTATCTGAGGATTATAACATTTGGGCAAACCAAATACATCTTCCCCGGATACGACAAAGAGCATTTATATGCATTTACATGTTACTCAAATCTGTAGATTTTAAGCTAACGTTAAGTAACTCTGTGTCAGATACGTATACTTTCCTTACTGCTAAGGTTAATGAAGCTTAAATAAAAGGATGCTGATAAAATCACAGCAAGGAAGGACAACTATTAGATCTATATTTTTCATTAGAGTTGGGCTTTTAGATTAAATGTATAATTTATGACTTCCCCTAAGAGGCATTTAAAAAGATAGGATCAAGTTCAAGCCAAGGTGTTATGTTGCTACCACTGCCTGGTCTGACAGTTTGGTAGGAAACACTGAGCATCTGGGGAAAGAGACAAGGAAACTGCTCTTCCCGTATCCCACTGGCCTGTTGATCTCTCTGATCACTACTCGCAGGAGAATGGACCAGGGTTCACTGAAGCTCATGCAACACCTGAGAGAGATGAGGAAGGAGTCTGACCCCCTCCTCACCCAATTTTGGATACTATCTCTAAATTTCTGTGAAGATGCTCTTTCTCTATCCACACATGAGATTACACTAAGGCAAGAGTAATTAGCCTCAGACAGACCACAGAAATGAACCGGCATGTCAGAATTTTTTTTTTTTTTTTTTTTGGTGAGGAAGATTAGCCCTGAGCTAACATCCATTGCCAATCCTCCTCTTTTTGCTGAGGAAGATTGGCCCGGGGCTAACATCCGTGCCCATCTTCCTCTACTTTATATGTGGGACGCCTGCCACAGCATGACTTGATAAGTGGTGCATAGGTCCACATCCAGGATCCAAACCTGTGAACCCTGGGCTGCCGAAGCAGAGCACACGAACTTAACCACTATGCCACTGGGCCAACCTTCCCGGCATGTCAGAATTTTGCTAGTAAAAGAGGCCTTTAGATTACTTCTTTGTGGTAAATAATCAGCTCTTCCTTTTAATACTATTTCTAATGTCCTTGTGTATCATTCCTTACAGATCCTCTATAAACCAGGCAGAAGGCTACTGTCTTTGAAAAAGTGGGTTGAACAAAAAAGTGGGTTAAATGATAAATCAAAGATTTGTTTCCATATGGTACATTCAATGACAGTGCAACTCAACCCAAAAAGGGGCAGGAAAACTTGCCAAGGCAGAGGCTGTAGGACGCGATTATGGGCTTGAATCACCTTGTTGGCCTCAGTGGTAGAGATCTACCACATGTAAATGATCCGTACTCTTGGAGTCATTCTCCACATGCTTTCTGGGTCCCTTTCAGACTCCCTTGCACCTCACTTCAAAGTTTCAGGTGTTTGTTACATTTTGAATACAGAGGGCACAAAGCAAAAATGGTGACTAGACATGTGAGACCGATTTGCAGAAAGTAGGGCAGAAGAGTGAGACTTCTCTGGCTGAGAAGTAAATAAACCTATGACACCATTTTCTTTATGTGACACATTCATTTCCTGTGGACCCAGAAGAGAAAGTCAACACTGCTTACTCGAGGGAATCGACGCCACCTGCCAACATGTGCAGGTGGTTCAGCGTTGTGATTGAGGTGGTCAGGTGGCGTTTGGCATGATCTAGCTGCTTAATATCGCGGGTGATTTCTTTAACCTACATATTGAAAAACCATAGGAGAAAAAGAAGGAAGGTTAAGAAAGATGTAAATCCATCTGCAAGTAGCTCCACAAGAAAATAATGCAAATGAAGCAAGGAAAAAAACCTCAGATTAGCCCTTGGAGAAAACACAAACATTCTCATAATACATAATGAAAATAATTTCCAATCAGCTCATTTAAATTTAATTTGGCATTTCTTCAGCAGACTTTACCCAGCGTTACTAAATCCTCAATTGTGAGAATGAAATGAACTTAATTTTTCACCCCAAATGGGGTGATCCAAATAGCAATTTAGTATGGAGCATACAGGGTCCAGGAGCCAAGCACAGCATATGTCCTCTTGAACAAGGTCAGAAAAGTATGCCTTCTCACACCAGGACTACTACGTTCAGTATAAAATGGATACTTTTAGTTGGCTAATTCTACTGAGATGGTCTTTATTCATGGAACCAGGGTTTATTTGCCCAGTCTCCAGCAAAGCAAAGATTTTCCCTCAAACATCAAGAAGACTAAAATCGACCCTGGTAACATAAGCCTAACATGTAATGTCATAGAGGAGAGGCGCAGTCTTCAGGGAGTAAGAAGGCAATTGGGGGAGTACAACTCCAACAATGTTGATCCAGCAGGTCCAAGAGGAAGAAACTCTATATCAGGGAATACAAGCATATTTCAGTCACTACATAAGTGCGTTCAGCAGTGAAGTGGGAACAATCTTCCAACTTTACTAACACCTAGGTGGAAGCTTCCACTAACTGCGTGAGTCCATGCTGACCAAGCAACTTTCTGAAGGGCAATTTGGTTTCCCAGGTTCTTTGATATCTGGAGGGAAGGGAGTGACCTGGATACCAGGCACAAACATTCTAGTCCCTAGAAAGATATATCGCCTGTTAAAAGTGAAAAAGCCAGTAGTGACTTCAGTTCATGTAACCGGATTTTTTGGAGTTTGATCACCCTGAGTGAACTCATATAAGCTGCACAGCTCAGCTCCACACCCACAGACTCGCAACGTTGACCTGGATCTTAGCAGTAAAAAGCCTCTTTCATGGGGACTTCCTCATCAAGCCTGCTCTTCCTATAACCCTCAGGCCATCAAAATATCTCTATTTCTATTGTGGGGAGAAAAAAACGGTTAAGGACCTACCACCTCTTTACTGAATAGCTGAGTTTGGGGAAAAAGAAGATCAGCAGTGGAATAATAAACTAGATTAGGAGTGTGGCATTATAATCTGATCACCCACTTCTAGCACTGAAATCGTCATGCTCTTTCCCACAAAAAACCTCCATGCCTCTTTCTGGGTTCCTCAGCTCCACTGCTAATATCAGGGGTCTTTAACTACTGTATTAAAAGTCAGTTATCTATGACTCTTCTCACTCCTGCATCGTTAGTCAGTCATTAAATCCTGAATATTCTTCTTCTGCCTCATCTCAATAATTTGTCCCTTTCTACTCCTCATTTAGGCCCTTCCTGCTCTGCACCGGAGCTGACTGGTCTCTTCATTCCCCGTGTCTCCCGTCTCTCCCCATCACATACCCTGTGCTTCTCTAGACAAACTGAACTATTTGTTATTCCCTAGACAAAATTCTTAATGGCAGCTCATGCAAGGGTGCTCAGGTCAAACTCACAGGAGACCACTCTGCAAACAGAACACCAGCAGTTACTTTACCATAATTATTACCCATGGGCAGCAAACAAAGGACAGAACACGACATGGCAGGTCTTGGAGTCAGACAGCTCCAGGGTTGAATCCCAGCTTTTCCACTTACCAACTCTGTGTCCTAGACCAAGTTGTTTAGCCTCACTGAGGCTCAGTTTCCTCATCTATAAAATGGGTAATCATAAAAATAATAATGATAATACAACCTAGTTCATAAGGTCGTAGTGAGGGCTAAATTAGGTCACTTGTATGAAAGAACTGGCAGAGTGCTCGGTGCACTGAAAGAGCTCAACGAATGTCAGTTCTCTCCTCAGTCCTACCTCTTCCCCCTACGAGCAAAGCACTGTCCAGGAAAGCAAACTGCTTTAAAATAAACATCTACTATCTTTAGAAGCAGCCTACTCAAACTGTTATTGCATCCCCCCTTGGCTGGAAGAGAGAGCGTAGTCCAGAACAGCAGATTGGAATCATAAGGATATCGATGAGTAAGACACCTGAGCACAGCAAACTCTAGCAAAAGGTACATGTGATCGTGTCACCTGAAAATCTCACTGAGTGTAGCGCATTCTTGGAGAAAGAACCACAAATCCAAATCCCTCTCTGATGACGTACGGCCTCCTCTCAAAGGCTATTTAATTCTGTGATGAAGGACAAATATTAATTATTTTTCCTTTGATGAAAGAGTTCTCTTCCTTGACCCCTAGTTTGGTAGTTAAGGTTCCTAACACCACCTGCCTGAGAGTAGGAGCAGGAAGAGCTAAAGGTAAGAACAGCACAACTAACACTTCCTCAGTGCCTGTGTACTCTGCGCTGTCTCATTTAATCCCCATAATTCCACGAGGCACACAGGAGGAAACTGAGTTATAGAAGGGTTAAATAACTTGCTTAAGGTCACAGAGTTAGTCCATAGAGGGGCTGGATCTGAACCCAGGTCATGTTTTTCACTACTATATCAAACTGTCTGTCCCCCACCCCCACCCCAATGGCCTCAGCTGAAGGCGTGGCCCTCCCATCCCACACTCCATATTCTTCCCCATCTTGCCAAATGGCCAATGAAGAGAACTGAAGGATATATGGAAATGTGACCTCGGATCTGCTCCTGGAGTGGATTATAAGGAGATGTAGGGAGAAAAGTCTGTAAGGGTTTGGGAGTTTTATAACCAAAAAAAGTAGAGAAAAAAATGATATTAACAATGGCTTCCATTCACCAAGCAACTAACACAAGCCTAGTACTATGCTTGGTGCTCATTTAATTCTTACAACCCTTTGAGGTAGATGTTATTATTCTTATTTTACAGTTGAAGAAACTGGATTCAGAGACAATTCAGAGACATGACCTTACATTACATAGTCAGAATTTGAGCCCAGGAGCGACATTTCACAGTGCCTCCCATGGAGTAGGAGTGGGTGAGGTGGGATTCTTGGTCGGCAGAGGGGCCTTCTGAGTATATCACCAGACGACACACTTTTGTAGAGGGAGAACTTAATCAAAACCATAAGCACGTATCATGGCAGGATACATCCCACCTCCTAGATCTGGTACCAGTTTTCTGGTGATACCAAGTTACATGTCAAATATCTTAACTGAGAAATATGTGATATAAACAAATGAGACAGAAAGGAATCCAAAATGACTAAGAAACTATTTTGGGGAAAGAAGAAGAAAACTTTTCCTATTTAAAAACAGGGTTGCAAATGTAGGGCAGCAGGGACGGTGAGTCACCGCATGTCTAGCAGCTCCTCCTGAACTGATCTGGAACATACTCACAGGGCTTGCTTTAGAGACGTGGCTGTGCGGTTGGCAGCAAGTGGGAGAAAAAGCCCGTTAATTCGTATGCGTGGACAAGAAGCTAACTTCCTCTTCTCGTGCAAAAAAGTTAGGAAGAAACCTGAACTCACCATTTGCTCCGATTTTTCTGCTTTGTCTTTGATATCTTTGATTTTGCCAAAGAGTTGCTGAATAGCTTTCTGGGCCTCTTCAAGTGCCTAGAATAAAAGAAATAAAGAAAAAACAAGAAGCAACACAAGACAGCACTTGTCACTACACTGTAATCAAGTCTAGCCTCAGAAGAAAATTACCATAAAGCTCTCGATTCATTGCCCTTCTGCTGACAATTTTACTAGACCCAAGTAGCAGAGACAGAGTCCGTATTTAGAAACAGACAAATACTCAGGATTCTTGCCAATGTGCATCAGAAAGGTTTAATTTAAAAACTAGACTATCTCCATCTCAGTGATTACTACATTTTATCGATGACAACAGATCAACAGGACATGCACATCTGTGCGTGTGTGTGCGTACATGTGTGTAGTAACCTTCAAAGCCTGTAGAGAAACAAAAGTGGCTCTGCATCAGGGGAAGCTCTGAATTTTGGAAGTTCCAGAAGATTATGCCTTCAAAAAAATCAGGACAGTACATAGGGACTCCAGAACTGTGGTAAACCTTAAAGACATTTATAGTACCCCACGGGAAACCTATGAAATGAAGTTAGAAAAGGACATTTAAAGCCAATGGTGAGCCAAATGTTTCCGCTGAAATAAAAACCTACAAAGACGGATGCCACACATTAAAAGTATTACAACCCACAGTAGCTTCTGCGAGTAGGGGAAGCAATATTCAGGAGTTGTGAGGGTGCTAAAGCCACACACGTGTAGAACAGACATACTTATAAAAGATGCTGCAGCCAAAAGAAGAACTCATGCTTCATTTCTTCAAAAGCACTTTATTTATTTTGGATTTAAGAGTGGCCTGTCCTAACGGGGCCTCACAAGCCCTTTATAAATGTAGTGATAAAGCCAGTGTAACCCTAGAGCTGTGTGTGGCCATCTCTGCCTCCACAGGGAACAGCCAGCCTCCCTGAGAAGGACAGCTTCACAGGGGAAAGAGGAAAGCGAAGCTGAGAGAAAGGGAGTACGACGAAAGCCCTGACGGAATTCTCTGAACCTCTGCATTCAGCTGTGCTCAGTGGAAGAGCTACCTCTAGACTGCGAACTAACACGTTTTCTTTTTTGCTTAAAAAACATCCTCAAAAAGCAAAACTCAGATGGCTTCCTCTGCAGGAAATTCCTTGTTAGAGGTAGAGACTGAATCTCCCTTTCCTTCCAAGGTATCTCAGGCTGTCCACTCCTTCTGATATCGGGATTCCTTTCTTATTCTGGAGCTTCTTGCCCTGCGTGTGGCTCAATCTCAAACACAGCTTTCTTTGGATCTTCCTCCACCTCTGGGATTTACAAGTTTCACACGTGGGGACAAGGACTCTCAAGTGATACACGTTTCTATGTTACCGCTTCTGAAGTGAATGTCCAGAAGCTCCTCTGAGAAGTCATTCCTGAGCCCATCTGTTGCCAAGTCTGAGGTGACGCTATCCAAGCCGCTGCTCACGCCACCTCCTGGGGCAGGCGGGGTCAGCGTGCGTTTGCTCTGCTGGATCGCTTGACCGATACCCACAAAGGTTTGTGAGCAAAGGAGCTTTTATACTTGTAATTTCTGTCACCTGGACACAGGTATTTTAATCATCAGAAACTTTAGTCTTGGAACAACAGTTGGCATTGCTATCAGAGCCAAAAATTCATAACTTGCGAAATTTTACCTAAAGAGTAGGAAACAATCAAAAGGGCCAATGGAATGGAATTAGGTTACATGGAGCAGCTCCTCTGAAGCCCATTCCACAAAACGATGCCTTACTCAGCAACCGTTTCCACTCAGTTTCCCACCAGCCTGCCTTTCTCATTCCAGGATTTAGCACCCCTGAAACAGCTGTGGTGTAGTGAGAAACCCTCCACTTTCCAGCCAGGGGGCAGGAGTTTGAGGCACCTCCACTGTCACATACCAGCTGTACAACCTCTCTGGGCATCAGTTTCCTCGCCTGCAAAGTGGTGATGATGGCACCAACTTCCGGGGTTGTTGGGAAGACTCACTGACATAACAGGTGTAAAAAGCTGCACAAATATTAGGTTTATTTCTAGGACTTACAACCAACCTGAGCAAATGCATGTATGCATATACGCATAGATAAATATATACATAGATAGTGTTCTCCTCTGCCCACACCTTTCCCTCACGCACAACCTCTAGGCCTGCCGCTATCCCACACTTTCTATCCTAAGGCACTCCCTGAGTGAGTCCACGCTGACTCAATCCACCTCCCCCCTCCCGAGAATTCTCTTCCTCATTGCTAATAGTCACCTCTTCAAAACCAGGATACAAGATTCTTTTGAACATTGCTTACTGCCATTCTGCCCAATCTTAGATTTCATAAGATAATGACAAACTAAAATCAAGTTCCAAGAAAATAGCAATGATAAAAAGGAATAAATTATCAGATGTCTATTTACAACCAAAGGAGTAAACCTTCAAAACAAAATGTCCAACACAGCTACTGATCGTGTACAAATCTTTGTTGTCTCCCATGGCCAAGTTCAAATGCCATTTCTTCTCCATCCCTTCGCCCTATTTCCCTTCCCTCTCAATACCCTCTCTCCCACAAACACACATGCAGCACACAGGAGAATCAATTCGTTCATCATCTGGGTGCCTGTGGTTCTTTATGTATACTTAATATTCGCAATAATTTTTTGTGGGTCTATCTTTTGGGTGGACTATGAGATCCTAGAGGGCAGGGACCCTCATTCATTGCGATTGCCTGATACCCAGGGCAGTGCCCAGAATAATAGAGTAGGTGCTCAAGAAGTGTTTATTAAGTTGAACTTTAAAACCAATCAATCATGGCGTACACAAACACACACACACACACATACACACACTCACTCCATCTTTGTTCTCTGGAATAGTCAGGTAACACATTTACCACAATTATGGCTGTACCAGCATTTCAACTGCGGACCTTTTTTTAAGCAACATAAATCAGTTTTGTAATCCTCACACACCGAAAAAAAATACTGGGTTAACGAACCTAGGAAATTAGACAGGAAAAAGTTTTTAACTTGCCATACCATTAAATTCTGTAAAGTTGTGGCTACAGTAGTAAATTACAGTAAATAGTAAACAGTAGTAAATTGTTTTTTATATGCATGTATTTTTTCAGAAGAACTCCATCCATCTCAGAAGCTCTCCATATATTCCCTCCCATCCTCATTTAAGAAAGGTACTTTTCAATGATTGTCTCTTAATAAACTATATTTTTAGATTATTTCAGATATTTTTAAACATTAGGTTACAACTTTTCCTTCTGAGATAACTGCAAAATCATTTTTTATTTTGGCCATGTTCCTCATGAACTAGAACCAATTTTAATAATCGCTTTATTCAATCAACAAACACTCAACTGAAGATGCAGGAATAAAAAATATAATTTCTGCTCTCAATGAATTTATAGTCCAGTAAGACAAAGAGACAAGCTAATAAACAATAAGAAAACTGAGACATGATAAAGATGTGTACAGAATGTCATGGGAGCCCAGAGAAACCATCACGAATACTGTCGTTTTGTTTGTTTGGTAGGAAGAGAGAAAAGGAAGGGAGGTCCAAGAAGCCTTCCAGAAGGTCACAACTTCACAACTTATTATTTGGGCCAGAGCGTTTTAAAATAACAGCAATGAGAGCAGCATTTACTAAATAAAATGCTATTTTTCAAGTCCATACTCTATCATAAACAAATTCTCAATTTCCAGGGCTCCACTGTCCCATGACTGTAGACTATCTATATCCGAACTGTTACTCTGAATTCCTGGGGCAGTTATAGTCCCAACTATATTAGTTAGCATTTCATTAATTCACTCCTTATATCATTCAACAGATATTTATTGAAGATCTTCCACATGCCAGGCATTATTCTAAGCACTGGGAATCCGATAGTAGACAAGACAGACATGGTCTCTCTCCTCAAGGAACTGTCCTCCAGGTCCCTGTCCTCAAGGAACTTAGTTTGAGAAGTGGCAGGTAGGAGGAGATATTGGAATAACAACCAAATAAATGAATAGAGAAGAAAATTTCAGAGTGTGAAGGGTACGATGAAGGAATTAAGCAGTGTGATGAAAGTAAAGGCAAGGGTAGTCATAGAAGGTCTCGTGAGAAACAGCATATGAACTGGAACCTGCAGGATGAGGAAGAGTCAGGATCTGTAGATCCGGAGTAAGAGAACTCCAAGTAGAGAGAACAGCAAATAAAAGATCTTGGTATCTGGGGGGACCAAAAAGTAAGGCAGTGGATGGCAGGGTGGTATGAGAGTGGCAAGTGTTAGAAAATAATTGGAGAAGCAAGCAGGAGCAGAGCATGGAGGGCCTCAAAGCCCTGGTAAAAAGCATGGGGATTTTGTACTAAGCGCATTGAGAAGACACTGAGGGTATTAAACAAGGGACTGGCAGATGGTTTACAGGTGTAAAACACTGCCCTGGCTGCTATGTGGCAAGGGGGCCACACACAGGCAGGAGTCAAAGCAGGAGAGAAAAAGCTCTTAGGAAGCTGCTGCAGCTGTGTAGGTGAGAGATGGTGGAGCTCTAGCCTAGGCGGCCAGTGGTGACGGAAAGAAGGGGAGCAATTTGGAATTTACATGAAGACATAACCGGCAGGACTTGCCGATGGACTAAATGTGGATGAGGAAAGGGAAGAATCGAGAATTATTCTTAGGTTTTGGTTTGAAAAGCCAGTGAATTACTCCATTTATTAAGCTAGGGAAGACAGAAGAAGGAATAGGTTGGACAGGCAGGTGTGTGCGGTGGTGGTGGGATTGGAAATCAAGAATTCTCATCTCAGTATGTTAAGGGTGCACAGCGTATTTGACACCAAGTGGAGACATCAAGTTGGACATGAATCTGGAGTTTGGAAAAGAGGTGTGGGCTAAAGATTTAAATTTAGAAGTCATCAGTTTGTAGCTGATACCAAGTCTGTAGGACGGGAAGAAGTCACCTAGGAAGAGAGTATAGATGAGACGAGACAAGAAGGGAAGGGAAGATGGCCCAGGGCTGAGCCCTTGGGCACTCCAACGGTCAGAAGTCTAGAAGAAAAAAAGGAGAGAGTAAAGACGCCA